GGCGAAGACAAGACACGTTATTTCTGGTGCGATACAAGAGGTTCAATGGTTATCTCGATTATCTAAACATATTTATTTACGTGGTAAAGATTTGTTTGTAAATCTATAAACTAATGCTAGTCCTTTTTGGAACGAAATGTATTTGAAAGAAAACAAGAACACTATGTAAAACAAAAGTTGCCTGCAACACGAAGCATGCCTTCACATCAAGACTGACAGTCCTAATGTTTATCATGATACATTAATGCATATGTTCGAATGTTCCCAAAAATCTTCTGATAATCTGCCCGCACCCACCCCTCACCCCGCCCTCACCACTGAACCGTACTGTTTTCACTCAGCGGCTGGTCAGCGATCACGTTTATGAAGTAAACATGGCGATCGCTACCTGATCACCGTTCTTGTCGATCCGAATGTCAAAATACCAGCGTGATATTGCCGCGAAGATGAAGCAGTTATGTAATTTGATTTGTACTTCACATTTGAGTCGAAGCTTGGGTGGCACAGGTTGTTTCTTACGGTGGAATCGACGAGGGGAATTCGAACACTAGTAGTAGAGTTTGAAGAAATGGTCGCGATGGTAAGTTTAGCGAACAATTTCAAATTTTGCAGCTTGAATTGAAAGTAAAGTTCATTTGAATTGCTTTCGTATGTATTTCTGACGGTTTTAGATCTACCTGCTTGATTTATTACGCTTCATGTTGACAAGTCCCTCAAAATGGCGGCCAAACTTGTAGATTGCCAAAAATTAGGTAAGTTCACGGAGTTATAAAGTTCTCGTAAAGGTCGGGCCGCAAAGTTTTTTTTTCCTGTAGTTACTTTTTCTATGGCACCTACTTCCTAGCTATGTAAGTTGGATTAGTTAAGAACGCCTCACTTTTTCCAAAATTTACCTTGAATTTGATCGGTTTTGGCGTCTGTGATTTAGGCGAACCGATAAGTGTCATTCAAGTCTCCCTGTTTCCTTAATTGAAACGTGATGTTTACGAAAGTCGCCTCGATAGATAAGATAAAGTCAACATACATGGCTATGGTATTTGTTTTTTGCTGAGTTTCGTAGTTTTGTAAGTTGTCCTCCAAAGTTGTATGAAATTAAAGTCTTCAGAAGTGTCACGACAAGCCTTCGCTCTAGTGAAATTTAATTTCCGTAAAACTCCGTAAAGTAAAGAGATCCGATCAAACTGATTGTTTGTTTTAGTATAGGTACATGAATGTCTTACAACACTCAAGAAACGAGCAAAATCCGTGTCTCAAGCAAAATCGAGCGGACCACTCTTACAGAGACACTCTCTTAAACGCTTTCCAAACTATTTTGTGTTTACCAAAATAGCGTTTTCTGTGAAAAACGGACCTTTTAGGCATATTTTTCATATAGATTCCGCAAAACATCGTGCTTTTTCCCAGAGACGGTGTAATGTTGGCTTTAAAGCATCACTATTTAGGCAAAAAATGCGGAAATTTCCCTTTTGTAATAAAAGTAAAATGCCTCAGTTTTCACGGATTAAGAAAATGCGTTGCTTCAAAAGAGCAACATTTTGTATAATTCAACGGAAAGTTAAATGTAGGTGCGTTTTACTAAAAAAAATATTCAATTTTTAACCGCGTTGGTTGTTAACTCTGGTAAAAAAATGCATATAATACTCTGCACGTTTGAGAATGGAACGATAAAGTCTTTGATTTAACCCTTAATATGTTTAAGCGGTGTTTTTTTTCCATAGGTAGAGTATTATGTTAGAAACAATTTTGAATGGTATAGTGTAGTATTAATTCAGCTGATTGAATTGCCAGCTGCAAGAAAGATGAGAAAGAAAGTTTTTTTGAGTTAAATTCACAATGAAGATGAGTTGGATCGACTAAGAGGAAAAATCAAACTGTTACTGTCGATGTTCAAAAATGCCAAATAAATTATAAAGCTTACATAGCAACAATGCAGCTACAAAGAAACATTTTCTTGCTCTATCTGCCTTTAACTCGAAAGTAATATAGGTAACCTCTTTAATTATAAAACAAATTGAGAAACATGAGCACCTACATTGTTTTGACAACATTTTCGATGGAATACACGAAGTAATGTAAATCCATTTAAGGTATGCTGATAGACTTTCACTTAAACAAAAAAATAAACTAATCCTCCTCAAAGATTTCATTTGCACAGAAATATTCCTTTAATACTTTTTTTACGGTCATTTTTTTAACTTTTGCGCCACCATGATGCTGAATTAAATTTCCATAAACGATAACACATTTAGATTTTCTATGATACTATGATAATTGAAACCCACCGACGCAGCGCCACAGATTCTTCAGAAACTTACCCCCCTTGTACTGTGTATCAGTTTGTGTAGATTTTAAAGCTAATTTAAAATTGTGATAATTAATTTCTACTGATTCATTGCCTCCAATACGAAGCCGTTATTCCCAGACGGAAGCACTAAATCATGGAGAAGGAACACAATTCAGGAAGTTCTTACCAACGAACAAAAATAAACATCGTTGTGGTAATTTCAGAAAACATCATTATGCCACTTTCTAACAAGGCTGCATTTAGCCTATAACAAGGCTGCATGGTAATCAAAAATTATCCATCACGATTATCACGACACACGGGAAGTTCTTAGAATAAACAATGGCTGTAGGGTAATGTAACAAAGTTTCATGATGCCAGCTGTTGTGCATGTATAAAAGCGAAAATCAGGAAGCCATCAAATTAATTCTTCATTTTCACAAGCTAGGTTTACATCTATTCATTTCTTTAACGCTCGATTTTGTATTGAATATAAAACTGTAAGAAAGTTGCGTGACCTATAGCTACATACCTTTTTTTCTTAGACCACTTTGTTTAAAGCAATTCTTTCAAGTCCAATTTATCTTAAGCAGAAACGATTTGAATATCAGTGTGCGTATCATTTCGGAAATTTCATTTATCATTCCTAAAAAGGGACGACAATACGGATATGAAATACGTCGTGGAAGTGAATTTGCCGAGGTGTAACACGCCTGCATAATTACAACTGTTTTTTATTAATTTTTCATGATGTCAGACCACAGAATGATGTGACAATACTTTTTTATGGAAATTAAGAGGCAAATTGTTTCTGAACCGAGCAGCATTCTAAGCAAACATTTGTACTTGTATAAACTAAGACAGAACAAACAGCTGACATACGAAATAGTTTGACTGCCATTGGTTTAACCGGCGACAGCCTTATTTAAATAAATACTATTAAGAAAAGAATTTGTTTCTTAAGCATATGTTAAATGGGTCAGAACTTTTCTAATCGCGCTCTGTATCATGTATTCTGTTTTTGTCTCCCTTCTCTTATTGGAGCTCTGCTCTATGATACAACGGGCTGTCAGATCACAAGGTTAGTTTTAATATGACTCATGTTCAATTTATCTTACCTTTGTTTTGAGTTATCTTTATTTTTTGGGAAACGATTTATTCAATCATAAGAATTCGTCATTGAGTCAAAAAATTAACTTTATCCACATATATTTACTGAACAAATTTTAAAATTTTCAGTTATCAACCTACAACCAGTACTTTGAAGAAGTATGACATTTTCGTGTGCGTATGTGAATTAAATTAGAATTTTACAGAACGAAGCACAGACGATTACAAAATCGATGTCAGAACTTCTGCCGGGGAACTTGAACCCCCTTCGACGTCTTCTTCCATTGACCCAAGCTGTCCAGAAATTGCTCCTCGTCTTTCCGAAGATACTAGCCTTCAAAATAAGGACTTAAATTTTAGATTGAGGATGAAATGAAAGTGCCCAGTGTTAATAATGGGAAAAAGGAAAGCCCAACAGTCAAGGAGACACATTTAAGGTCCTTTCGATCGGCTCAGTGGAGATGTTACTTTTAGACTTAGGATGAAAGTCAGGTGAAAGCAAAACAGAAATGAAATAATTTTAAATTCACGAGCAAAAGATAATTTTTGTCGTGTTTACATACTCTGATCTTAAAGAGGCTCCATTGGTTTTTTGGTCGATGATGGCGCGCACGCGCCAGCGTAATGTTTTCCTGGAAGTTTTTTTATTTTTCCGCTTTTCAAGGTCAATATGAGTCATCAAAAGGCAATGAGCAAGGTTTGGATTATCGTTTCCTGTATTAAATATTATAAAAATGATTTCTGTTATTAAGCTAAGGCTCTATCAAGGGACGCGCTCGCCAATGATAATTTGGCTTTGTCTTTGACTTTATTCAATTTGCTTCGGTGAAATCTCTCAAAATTTACACAATTTTTGAAAATTGTCTTGCCGATCATTTAAAAGCCGAAAAAAATAGCGGTTACAAAGGTAGTATCCTCGCTATTTGCAATTTCGTGTTTCTTTCCTCTATCTCAAATTTGTTCTCAAGGAAACAGGGACTAGGAAGGGTACAAATATGTTTAACGGTCCAGCAAATCCTAAGAAATTCTACTGTAGAAAACGCTCTAAACTTACTCGAAACGTCCTTATTTTCTTTGTCGCAAAACATCATGTAACAATAGAACTTCGCTAACATCGGTATCTAAGTATGCTTAAACTTTCCATCTGTCGCGTCATCTGTTGCCTTTTGGCAACCTTTCCCACGGTGTTTTCTTTTCATTGAGTTCTTTCTCAGGCGCAGAAGGCCTATGAATATTATAGGTGAAGTTGCTGGAAACCCTTGATTCTATCACATAAAATTGTATCGTGTTAAACTGTTTTTAACACACCTTTTCAGATAATAATCGTGCGATCAAGCCGCCGTGCTATGTTCGCAGACCCAGATCTTGCCCTATAAAAAACCTGTGGAGTCTCCTTAACACCCGCGACACTGTCGAGGGTTTGTATATCTCTTTTCTTGTAAATACTTTTTGCAAGATAGAAATAAAGTAGACGAAGATAAAAAAAAGTTCAAGTCTGACACAATAGGTAATGGAATATCACTTATCACATTTTCCGTAATTCTTAACATATCATAATAAGCAATAATGTTACGTTTCATATATTTATTATTTCCATGTCAAAGACGTCTGCATCGCAGACCAGTGTCGTAATTTGGAGTTCGGACCTGAGAAAGCATTTGGCGGGAAACGCCTCATCAACCACACAATTCGCACCGTAGAAATTCCAGTTTCCAACTTCTGTGAAAACATGTGTTATATGGAGCCCGACTGTGTCAGCATTAATCTTTATACACGGGCAGATGGAAATGGAAACTATAAATGTGAACTGAACAATGCTACTCATGAAGGACACGAAGGAAAGTTGATAGAACAAGAAATGTATGTTTATCACGCAGCGGAGGTAAATATTACTTTCAATTTAAGATTCAGATTGGTGTACTTTGTTTTTCTTTTGTAAATTCATAGTCTCACGTTTACCTTGAATTACGGACTCTTTCATGACACTAGCAATAATATTGTGTCTGTGCTCTTCACCAAAATCTCCTCAAAGACAAAGCATTTTAAAGTTATTGGAGAAATATAGAAATACAAGGACAACTATGATGACAAGGATAACGATGGCGATATTGATGATGGTAGCGGTGCGGACTATTAAATGTTGAAAATAATTTTAAGGTTGATAGTAACGATGACAATGACAACTGTTTGTTTCTTCTGTTAGAGCAATTGTGTTGAAAATCCTTGTAAGAACAATGCTACTTGTCAAAGCGGATTTACTAAGAAAGGTTTTCGGTGTCTGTGTATCGCTGGATTTGAGGGTCCGATTTGCGAAAGAGGTAAACACAACTTTTATGATGATATCTTTAGACTTTCAGTTTAACAACAACAAGAAAAAACTTTATCGCTGCTTGTTAATTGTGTCTCAAATAATAAAATAGCTTTCTCTGTACTCATTTAGCTCAAACCGCTCTTACTAGTCACTAGGACAAAGGGCCTTTGTTGCGGTTACTTCACCAACACCACTCGATGGCGAAGTTTTCGTTTTTTGTCATTTCTTCTCGTCATCTCCTATCTCCTTATTCGTCTTGACATATTTTCTCCTGAGCTGCACTGAAAGTGAAAAGAGACAAAAGTAAAATAGATGAACCACAAGCAAAAAGATAATTAGCCACCTATAGAACTTTCGGGATTAAAAAAGAGGGAATATGTGACTGTTTCGCAGCTCATCAGCACTGTTTGTGACTTACAAGTTGGTTGTGGGTCGACTCATTTTGAATACATTTTTTCCACTCTGTACAAAGTAAATGAAGTGTAGTGATCACAAGAAAAGAAAAACTACGTTTATCATATTGAGAACAGTATGTGTAGGAGGCCTACCTGATTATTCTTGTACAGTTGTTAGTGCTTCTATTTTTTTTTTTCAGTACGATAATTTTGTTTTTATTTATTTATTTATTTATTTTTTTTTTGTTCAGACATCAACGAATGTGTTCGTGGGCTACACAAATGCAGCTCTGATGCGTTTTGCAGCAATACTAAAGGTTCCTACAATTGCACTTGCAAACATGGATTCACGGGAAATGGACGAGAATGTAAAGGTAGACGTTGGATTTATTACCAATTATGTGATGAAAAAAATAAAGCTTGCATTTGCAAATTATCCACAAAGGGGTGGTAAGAAAATGTGTAGAGAAACTGAACGCGAGAGGAGATACATATAGACGAAACCACATTGAAACAAGGTATTCTTAATCTCCAAAGTGTTTTTGCATCAATCGGAATCAATGTACTCATCATTGTTTGTTGGTTTCGTTCATCTTTTGTTGAAGAGACTGTCGCATGGCTACAGAAACCTATTTGATGTTCTCAACAACAAATATTAATGATGTTCAAATCAAGTACGAATATCAAGTAATACTGCTGACCTTTTAAATATTTTATATATTTTCGTCAATTATTGGTCGGCTTTATATCTGTAGACATCAATGAGTGTGTCGCAAGGTCACACTCTTGCAGCCCTGATGCCTATTGCAACAATACCAAAGGCTCTGTACATGTAAACCTGTTTCACTGGGAGTGAAAGAGAATGTGGGGGTGAGCGTTACTTTTGAGAATATTGAGTAAAAGAGGCGGATTTTCTAATTTGGAACTTTCTGATAAAACAAAAACTACGTTTATCATATCAAGAACAGTTGGAGGCCTACCCATGTATTGTTGTTTTTACAGTTGTTGGTGCGTCTATGTTTTTTTTTTTTTTTTAAACGATAACTTGTATTTAGTTATCGATGTATTTCTTTTGTTCAGACATCAACGAATGTGTTCGTGGGCTAGACAAATGCAGCTCTGATGCATTTTGCAACAATACCAAAGGGTCTTACAACTGTACATGTAAACCTGGATTCACTGGAAATGGACGCGAATGTAAAGGTAAACGTTGAGGTCGAAATGTAGAGGAAAATCAGCTGGTGAAAGTCTAAGTAAGAATTTTGATACACTGGCGATAGCACTGCTCTTCTACTGAGCCTTGCAACCCTTATGAGTTTCTAAGCCCCTCTTCCGTGTAGTGTTTTAAACGTTTGCAATGGGAAAATTACTGATTTCGTTTTTCGCACGAAATCACGATTCATAAAACTTGTCTGTGTCTGCGTGATCTCCCTCGTTCTTTGGTTTCAGAAGACAAGTCAGATCTCGGTTTTGGTAATTCAAGATATCATAGTCAACCTCGTCCAGTAATTGCTTATTAGCTTAAAACTTTTCTTCGTCTCCTTTTTTTTATTTATTTTTTTTCAATTGGTAAGTCCCTTTGAAACACATCCATCGATGATTCTTGATCGTTTATATGTTCTCTTCGAGTAAAATCACAAATTATGAAGTAGCATCTGTTGCAGCTTATACTGTAAATCTAATCATCCGGAGTTTAAACTTAATACCCAATCATAGTTTATAGATATTTTTGGAAATAATTGATTATTTTTCAAACACGACTAGTAATAAACTTGGTAAGCGTTCAGTAACGTAGAAACTTTAAAAACTGGATGAAAACATTTATTGCTTTATTAAGATAATAACAACTGATCCTCTCCCGACGCTGTTTCTTATCAATGATCTATTTAAAGAAAACATACATGCTGCCAAATGAAGTGAATGAAAACTGACTCTTTCCAGTCAAAAGGCAGAGCTTGGAACATGATGAAATTCTTCTGTCATTCAGTCAGATCGCAGTCAATCTAGTTTCCCAATGATGGATTGAGATGTAGCTAAAAAAAAAAGTTTACAATTTCTTCTAATCAAAGATATTTTTAAACTTCTTGCAGGAGCTTCCTCGTGTAAAGAAATTCATGACATGCAAGTAGAACTGATTTTCGATATTATTTTCATAGTACATCAAATATCGCGCTTTCCCGCATATAGTTTAGGCCCACCACGGCACCGAATATACCCCAATTTTCAAACCACATTCCATATGCGGAGAAAGTCCTCCTTTAAACCTTTATTCATTTCAGTGGAATGCATTACTGTCCTCAGAGAAGAAGTGAAAAAATATCTTTTGAACTCGGACACCTGTTTGATTCAAGAACAAATAACCGAGCATTGTTTATATTCCGCAGATATTGACGTCTGAAGATCAACTTTCCATTTGCTTATTAGTTGAATTATTATTATTATTATTATTGTCAATCAGTATCTTTCCCATTATCAGTTTCATTGCCACCGTTGTAGCTATGATAATTATTTTCATAAGCTCAAGGTTTTATTTCACCATCATTGTTTTCATTACTAGTTGTATTTCTTTTTTTTTTATTCAAAAGATCCAATGTGAGTGGTGCGGTTACCCTTCTTGTTGACTCCCAACCATTGTCCGTTTTCTGTCACATGGGAAATTTTGGGTGTGGAGATGGTGGATGGACGCCAGTCATGAAGATTGACGGCAGAGAGGTGCATACTTTTATTGAATAATTCATTTCCTGTATAAACCCGCTCTCTTTCAAAACGTTGCAAGTTAAAAACTTGCGTTTTACATATGTATGCCTTCAGTCGTCTTTCATTGAGAAGGAAATGCATGAAGAACAGACCTCGTTCAACGTAAATTTGAAGACTTGTGTTGTGTAGTGACTGTTGAAAAAGGATGAAAAAGAATGTATAAATATATCCTAACATATTTGTCTCTAATAGCATGTAACGGCTATTTAAGAAATACACACCATTAAGATCATAATGCGGTTAAAAGCTGTCCGGAACAAACAACATATTTTATCTCAGTTAAAGTTCCACACTGGTTAATGGGTATGTAGACATAACCCTGATTTAAAGAGCTGTCACTGCTCATTCCCCGAGCAGCGGGAGGGAGGATAGGTAGAGGAGGATTCCTGGAGGACTATATAACATTTGGGGCCAATTAACTTGCCAATGAGGAGAAATCGTTGGTCATAGGAATATTACTGACAGTCTTATGGGGAGATCAGGTTACTTTTATGGTGACATAACCAAAATCCAATTTGTTTTTGTTATATATGAAAAGAGATTGGAATTTCTTTATATAATAGCATCGTGTATCATCCTTTATTCACTTCACAAATGATTGTCATTTCAATGTCTCTTGATTGGCGTCCAAATGAAAACACAGAAAAACTCCTTATAACTAGAAAGATATGTTATGCACTGATTTACGGCGCGGGGTCCGTGTTGGAAAAAAAATGACCTTAGTCTTCACGACACGATGGCGTAATTACCAAGGTCAATTTAACGGTAAAACAAATGAGTAATGGATCAATAAATGCAGATATACGACAGGACTTTGACAGAAAATATCCATCAATTCGGATTAAATAAAAAAAAAATGTATTGCTCCTATATTTCAGACCACCTTCCATTATGATGAGCATTACTGGATAAATGATCAAGGATACAATCTTCCCGGAGGAGAGACTGGGTTCGACGGACAAGAGTCAAAGCTACCCACCTACTGGAACACATCCTTCTCCAAGATCTGTCTCGGTATGAAGATCAACCAACAGCTCAGGTTCATTGTCATCCACAAGCAGGCTGACTCTCTGCACTCACTGATCGCTGATGGCCAATACCGCGCCACCTCACTTGGTCGTGACAAGTGGAAAGAATTGATTGGTTTCCAAGGCTCGTTACAGGCCAACTGCAACAAAGAAGGGTTTAATGCCGTTTGTAGTTGGAGAAGATATTCTAAAGCCAGAATTGGTATTGTTAGCGAAAACAAGAATGAGTGTGGCTCGTGCGACTCAAGGATCGGATTTGGCACAAAAGGGCAACCTGACGATTTAAATACGTGTGGTAACGAGGCCGTTAATAATCCAGATAATGGAAACAAACACCTCAAAGCCATGGGATACATCCTGGTACAATAAATATGACTCGGGTTTCGCAAAATAAACCTAATAATAAGTCTAATTGTCGATTAGTTTCAAGCGTAACCCCTCGGATAGGGACTTATGTCCGTGTATAACTTTGGCTTTACCCTGGATCAATCTCTAGCCATTCTTTATATTAATTCTACATCTATACATAGATAAATTTGAGAAACCACGTTGAAAATTCTATAATGTAAAACGGCATGTTAAACAGCATTCAAATATTCTGATAACAGAGATGTCCAACTCGCTTACTGTGTCGTAGAAATAATTATAAGCTAATAGTTTTTGCTTATATTATCCTAGAATTTCAGAAGGTTTAACCTATGGGGACGAGGTGCACGGGTCAAAATCTCTCCCTCTGCGTTTGGATTGATTTGTGCATCAATGCAATCCTTTAAGGATCGAATTGGAAAGGAACAGTTATGCTTCGTGGCCTTAATGAAATTGAAACGATACTTCAATAAAATAGACTTGTTTGCTCCAGTTTTATCTTTCGTTGCCTTCAGAGAGATGTAAATGCACAGTATTGAACTTATCAGCTCATCTAAGTTCGGGCGGGGCACCTATCTGATAACTTCCTCGCTGCTTAGATGTAACAATCTTCCGTAACTAATCTTGCCTCTCCACCACATCGCCCGTTTTACATAGGTGCCCTCTTTTCTACGCTCTTTCCACCCTACTACTTATTTTACCATTTCGTTACAAATCTCCCGCTGATTCCCAGAACCTCATCTCCCTTTGCTTTGCTTTTGCCTTCCCTTTTGGTCAGACTCTCTTTTGAAATGATTTTCCTCGAGACGAAAGCCACTTACAATTCCCTTTTTATCGCTTTTCATTTAGAAAAAACAAACTTATTGACATGTTCGTTGTTAAGTTCTTTCCCGGAAACATAAAATATTTCAAACTCAATGTATGATAGCACACCTATCTGGCTAATAAATGGTGCTTCGGAATCACTAAAATGAAAGAGAAAATTGCTTAGAGTTTAGAACTTTTTTAACGCCCAGCCTCAGAGATCAGCACACATATTCGACTTTTGACATAGACGGGTGACTTTTCTCCTAGCCTGAGATTTTTAGCCAAAAAACCGCACTGCTCTCTGAACCAACGACATGTCTCATCTATTTCAAGCCCCAGACAGTTTGCTTTAGATAGCTTTGAAATATCATTGGTTCCGAGCGATGGTTTTCTGTATTACAGTTGGTGGTTGTAATTTCTTTTGTTTTCGTGGAAAAGGTTGTGGTTATTCATCGTGGTGAATAACAATAAAAAAGTAAGTTTTCGTTTGTCTCACGATGTAGTCACGTGTGATGTAGATCGCGACGTTTCGACTGCATACTGCTAGTCTTCTTCAGAATGAGGTCGACTGGTCATGCGTGATTCTATAAAGCATGATGCTCTGCTGTGATTGGTTGTTTTTCAGCAGCTCTGATTGGTGCATTTCGATCCTTGCTGTTCACTCAGTGATTTGCTCCCTCGGCGGTCCGCTGTCGCACGGCTCTCCTGTTGTTGTATTTCTTGATCGTGGGGATCCACGCTTCTGGAATTTCTATTCCAGTATCCCTGTTGATGTTGTTGGGGTGAAGTTTTGTATGAATAGCCTCTTTGACCCTGCGCGTGTAGTAATAAGGGTAACGATCAATAAACTTTACTTCGTTCCAGAGTGGCTTGTGTCCGGTGTTGTGGGCATGTTCTGAAACGGCGGAGGTCTCGGTACGGGCGAGTCGAATGTCTCGATCGTGCACGAACAAAACACCAACAACAACACCAACAAACACCGGAAAAAAACACACGAAAAACTTACCTTTTTATTCTTTTGTTTTGCTTTTCAACATCACTCCCATCAAATGAAAAGCTCAAAGCCTTTCCTTTACTATTCTCAGAATCAATTGTCCTCCACAGGAATTAAACAATTAAGAAAACGGATAAACAAACACCCATTAAACTTTTGACCCCTAGGAGTGACAAGCATATAATTTCTCTTACAATGTCACCCCTGGATCCAACATTAAGGTCACCCAAATCCAGGAATTGAACACAGACTAAAGCTCTAGATTGTTAAACTAATTCTCCTCCACGGCTCCTTGGGAAACATGGAGAACAGTGTGGAGAATATGCATACTGATTTTTGGGCGGAAAGGGTTAACTTTGTAATAGATTGGCATCCCACCCGATGGGGGTTGGTGGCAGAGTACGGGGAAACTCTTATGGCACTTGTACAAATAACAGGCCCTTAGTTGCTCGACATCAATAAAAGCTGGAGCTGTGGCGGGAACAGCCCATTGAGTTATGAGCTGATCTTCCCTTTCACGTGATTTCTATTTTTCGGCTAGTTTATTTTGTGAGAGCAGTCACAATAATCATCCTAAACACTGTTTTTGTCAGTTGGTTAATGTGAATAAATTAAAGTAGCCTGGAAACTAGGGCAAAATCCCAAAGAACGTTTAGCACAGAACAGCCTCAAAAATATTTATCATCAATTATAGCTCACAAAAATTAGAAATGAACTTATTAAGTAAAATGCTCACAAGAAATACAAGCATGGAAATACGCATGGAAAAAATTTAACCCAAACTATTCACAAGAAGAGAAATGTTGGATTTTTTTATGTCGACTTATAATATCTCACACACCTGTAGAATTATTTCTTAAAGTTTAATAACTATGGTACAGTGAAATTGGCAGATAGCCTCTTCCAACATTCAGGCATAGCATTTTCAAAACGTTCTAAGAACCTACTTCTGTAGGTCCCATATACCCTTATACTCCCTGGATCGCAGCGTAAGTTTTCCTTGCCACCTGCTATACATTTATTTTAATGTTAGCTCTGAGAAGGTGGTAATAAATTAAAGTCTGCTTTATCATGAAGCTGATAATTTCCTTAATTCTCGTTACCTCTTGCTTTATGGATTTATTGTTTCTGTGAGGCGAAATTATTTATTTGATCTCTAAGAGAGCAAAGGTGAAGATGGTAATGTAGGATTTTCTTGCCTCCAAATAAACCAGAATTGCACCGGTTTTACTTTACTTCACTTCATGAATGGTCTATAAAACTCTGGACACTTTCTCAATCAAATGTAGTAGCTTAAAATCAATCAAGAACTGGTAGTGAGCATTTTCCTGCATAGCAGACAGTTTGCATGTGTTCAATTTGAGAGTCCAATGCTTCGGTCTTTGGGTTATTAATCTTTGGTCTGACAGCCCCTGTGATAACCTTGTTGTTGGTTTTTATTTCTTTTAAGAATAAATTTTTGTGTAAACTCTTCAGGCTGCAGTATCGATAACAACTTCACCAAGAAGGGCCAAGAAGCTGGAAGTTTCTCATGGCTGACTTCTCGCTGAAAAAAAACCACACATCATTGTGTCATCGACGTGGATATTGAAATCACCAGCGATTAAAATCTATTCCTTTGAAAGCACAAACGATTCGAGGTAATCAGAAAATTCCCTGAGGAAAACGCTGACTGTAACCTTATGCTCGGTAGAATAAGGTGGACGGTACACGATCAGTAGACGCAAACTACAGCCTAGGCAACTAGCAAGCCATTCGGAGGATTCAGAAGAATCCTTTCCACACGCATCAACCATCTTGACACGGCAAAGAATCACGGAAATTTAAGCCAGTACCACCATCGCGATAACCAGTTCGAGGGTAGTCGATGAAATTGTAACCGGCAGGGCAGAATTCTGTTTTAACTGAAGCATCTTTGTCCGTAAGCCAGGTTTCTGTGATAGCGTAAAGATCAGCATTGTAATCACGTATGTAATCCAGGATTAAAGCTGTTTTATTTTTCACCGATCTAGCATTTAATGGACAAACCGACAGCGGATGATTAAAATTGCTACTAGAGCGAGTGTTTGGATCTGAAATATTTACATTGATTAGGTTTTGAGGGTGTCTTAGCGATCCACAACGCTTACGAGAACCACGCACAAAGGCGATTGTTGGTATTGTTCCATTGACAGGGCCGGGATTTAATTTGAAGAAAAGATCTCCGATTAACAATGGGTGGAATGTTCATGTTGAGTTGGAATAGTACAAGCACGGGCACCTGTGTCTTCTGATCCTGAAACGTGTGCGGTATGTAACGGTGGATGGTTTCAACGCCCACAATCGTGATGGGTCTTTCACACAATCATATGATATGGGCGAAGTCACAAGCGTAAATGTTAATTTTTGCAATTTTTAAATTAGTTTCCAATATAGAAAACATTCCCGCCATTTTAAGAAATTTATAGAATTCCTTAATCAGGCCTCTTTTAGAGATAGATGGAATTCTAGATGAATGTGGTCTTGCTTAAAAAACCGTGTCGGTAGTTGAAACGAGAACTGGTTTAAGTGGAGGTCTGTGTATAGAATGACATGGCCACACCACAACACCGGGAGCTTCGTTCTCTACTCTTTGCGAGAAGTGCGTTGGTTCTTTAACGTCCCTGTTAACCATTTCAGCGAAGAGAAAGGAGATGGGGCCTATGGCTTATTGTACTTACCCGAAAAGAACCGTTGTCAAAGCAGAGGCAGCACATTCTCCTCAATATTTTACGACCCTGAGTGTTGGCCCGGTCTGGAGCTTGAACCCGCGACCTCCTCCACGCCAGTCCGGCGCTCTACAACGTTAGTTAACCAAGCGCGACTCGTCAAAGTTTCGAAAGTGGATTCCATTTCCTTCTCATGATCACTTTCCTTTTTGTTTTCTTGCAAGAAATATTTTGGGAATTATATTTCCATACGTAATAAGGACGATATGCAACCGAATTTAACAATTTTTTTAAAAAATAATTTTTCGCCTCCTGTATAGAACTTGAAGTTTCACAGAATGTTGCTGGAAATTAGGAAGAATATATTTGTGTCCTACAAGAAGTTACTAGCACCAAACTAACCAGTGTTAGTACGGTATGGAATGGAATTTCACTCACTCATTTCATTTGTTTATCCCCTCATATTCTTAAGTGTACCAACCACGACCTAACTCCACAGAAAAACGATCTTTGAA